TGGGAGTGCCTTGGTTTGGATTAATCGTTTTACCGCCAGATGTTCAGCGCATTGTGACAGCGTTGGCATACCTTCCCNCAGTGGAAGATGTTGATGACCACCCGTTAGTTCCTAATGCGTGGTGTTGGAATTTGCCATTGTGGGGAAACCCTGTTCTTCCAGAAAAAAAAATTGAATGTCCAGTTAGATAACATCCGCCCGGGACTAGAATTTCGTCATCAAGCCCTCCTGGGCTGTAAAGCATTGCATACGTTGGGAGATGTTCTTTGCGCGCGAGAGGCCTTGGATGGAGTTATGAATGCAACGGACCAAGCAGGCCTAGCAATACGCAAGGCTTGGCATCAAATAGTGGATAAATACCTCCAACCGCAAACCCCACTAGCTAAATCCCTGTGCACCTATCGTAAATGGCAGGAATGTATGGATGCTATTGCCGCTCTTCTAGATGATATTCCAGCGAATTGGAGACAGGCGGCTAGTCTTTTGTTGCCGCTGAGTGTAGAATCTAGGGAAGCGATGGTGCCCCCTATTGAGTCGGTTACTCAAACCCTAGTGTCGAGGCTTGGTTGGAGATGGGGTGTAGGGCCTCCAATCCGATTCCAACAATTATCCGTTAAAATAGCGACTAATATGCAACTTTCACCTTTTTCGATGGCTCGCCGTGTGGCCCATACCCTTTTCATCAAAGAGGCGACGGGTTCTTCTGAGATATTGGATGAAGCTATTTTTCTTTTGCAACGGACATTCCATCGTTTATGGTTTCATTTACGGTGGGAAAATGAACAAAAAGAGATTTGGTGGCGTCTTGCGGTTGATGGGGTGCCTATGTTAGGAAATTCCCATCTTAGGATGTCGCGCCCAACGATATGTGGTTGTGGAGGTTATCCAATAGGTTCAGTGGGAGGTGTATCCCCTCGCTATCATCATTTCTGGGCCTGTCCGGTGGCACAGGCAATAGCAGATCAACTTACTCTTTCAATAGGATTGCCAGTCTCAAGGGAGCAACTTTGGCTTATCCAAGCCCCACAATCAGTGCAACAATGTGTTTGGGATGTTGTGGCTCTTGCTGCGGTGTCAGCCATGGAGCATGGGAGACGTTATATGGCTGCAAACATGAAAACCAACCCGGCACTGTTACCTGGTCCTTCCCTTACGGAAGAAGCAATTTGTCGAGTTATTGTTGATTTTTGGGGCCGCATTCAGGGTTTCGCAGCTTTAGGAATTCCACGAAAAGGTTGGGAATCCGTTGGCGCACATCACCCCTTTTTGAGGATTATATCTGGCAAATTGATTTGTTCGCGAGAGCGGTTACCGATGAGAGGTTAATTATCTGAGATGATAATCTTTTGGTATATTAGTCTCTACTGCAGTGCACGGCCAGCTGGCCCGATGGCTCTACTCTTCGGGAGTCTGGAGCCCACTGTAACAACCACACACACCATACGTGCTTTGGAAACGCGGGCAGCTGCTTCACAAGGGCCCCCATCTTTGCTTCGTTTACTTTTTCTCTTTTTTTTTCCCCTATCGACGGCGCTGTCAAAGCGGTTCATGAGCCTCCGGGTTCGTTTGGGCCGTACGAGCTCGCTGAAGCTTGTAACATCCATCCATCCATCCATTGCCTAGTAATAGTATCATAGTACTATATTACTATATATAGTACTATTTCTTACTATACTATACTATTTGGGAAAATAAATATAGTATTTTTGCCAACCCTAATTATGTGGACTGCAGCAAACAAGAAGCGAATTGCATAGCGTCGCGGATACTGTTAATGCTCTACGTGCGTATCGTACATGTCTTCAGTACCCTGGCCTATGTGCGAACACACTCGTCACACCTCGTTCGCACCTCGCCGAGCCGAAGTCGCACAGCTTGAGGACCCCAGCATCGTCCAGCAGCAGATTGGCGGGCTTGATGTCGCGGTGGATGATCTGTGGGGCACAGGAGGCCGTGAAGGAGTACGCAGTATGAAAGCGTCATCTGAGTCAGCATTATCACAATCAGTAGTACATGATTTCACATCCGATTGTACGAAAAACAAATGCGGCATCAGCAAAAACCACCCGTCTATCGCACCTTTTTGTCGTGCAGGTGCTTGATTGTCTGGGCCAGCTGCCACGCCAGCAGCTTCACTTCGGGACCGGACAGGCCGCCGGAGGCCCCCCGGGTTCGCAGCTCCGAAGACAGACATCTGCAGCAGAAAAGGTGGATGGCATCGATGTAGTGTATACACACCGTAAGGTGCCCTCGGCCCTACCCCTCCTTTCCTTCCCTTCCTTGGCAACTTGGCCCCTTGGCACCTCACCTCCCCTCACCTCACCTCACCTGGGCACATACTCGGTGACCAGGCGGGGCCTGCCACTGGAGCCCACAGGGGCCCCCACCAGGCCAACAACCATGTTGGGGTGCGGTTGGGCAGCGCTGAGAACCGAAAACTCGCGGTGCAGCGGACGGGAGCCCTGGAGGGTTGGTATATATTATATATATCATGGGTGGATGAGGGTCAGCGGGTTCGGGCCACAAAAATAGAACCGCGGAAAAATAAAAAACCGTGTTGGTTGGTTGCAAGCTTGCGATTGATCATGTTTTGGGGCCTGATGGCATCATCGTGCGCCTCATCGTGTTGGGCGACTCATCGCTGAGGATGTGACAGGTTGAAATCCCTTTAACAGCTGAAAAAGTGTTTTGACCTAGTTAGGGTTTGATAACGTCCTCCACCTCAACCAACGACTTCCGTAAACACCGTACACTACTGCCAACCCGCCCTTTTGAGTCTTCCGCACGCACCTGGACCCCGGCATTGTGGAAGCCCTTAACTGCCATAGGGCACGTAGCGCATCTGCTTTGTCCGCCGCCACTCATGCCAGCTGCACCCACGTAAGGGCGCCTTTCTCCTCCACCTCCTATCTCGGTAGCTCCATCGCCTTTTCCTGTTGTCGTTGCTGCTGCGTTGACGTCTTCGTCGACGAAGCATGGAATTGGAATGTCGGCTAGCGATGTTCCCATCCCCAGAGCTTGAGTGGAATCGAACTGCATCATTAGGTCGCATTACGAGCGACAAGCAGCAACAGGAGAAGGGTAATGAATAAGCATATGATGCTGGTCGACTCTGAAGCCATGAAAATAGGCTGGCTCATCCTCTATCCGGTGTGCAAGAGGGATACGTATAACGAAATAGAAATGCAACAGCATTTGATTTGAAGGTGTTGTTATAAATTGGAGCGCTGTCGGCGAAATGAGATTGTACGTACGAAGCTACGAACGGTTAGGCGGACTCTCCCTCAAGTGCGCCACGAGGTCGCGACAGGAAGGGCCAATATGTTTGTAAAAGTTGTGTTTCGTTATCTTGTCATAATTCGGATTACATGGGTAAGAATGGTGCGTTGCGGGAAGGGTAGCTGTGGGTAGCGGAAGCCAGGGCACCGTCTCAGACCATCGCTCCGCGCCTTACCTGTCCTACAGACATTTATATGTTAATCTTCAATCGGGTACTCCTTAACAATTTTTAGTAATTAAATTAAGGTGTGATCGCGAGCCAATCGAATGAGGTTCTAAAACACCGTCACAATTATAGATGAGTCTTGTTAGTATCTCTTTTATCTTATTTATAAATACGAGAAGCTTATCTCATAAATTATTAAGACATACGAATGCAGGGAGACGCGGACACTCGTGATACCGTCGTCATTATAACCTCAACGACCTAATCAGTTGAGCTTGATTATGTCTGTAGCAGTTAGCAATTATGTTGCGTATTCGACTACTAACTCCGTATTTTAAATGTATATAGATAATACTTCTTGCATTGGAATGTCTGGCTCCGGTTACTGATTGCCGCAATGGGCAGCCCGGCAGCGCATGTTCCGGCTGTCCGCCAACAAGCGCACTACTACCAGACGGGGCCGTGTAAGAACAAATTGGCATAAGATTTATAACTACATCTTAACCCATGATAACCAAGAAGATTGGTCGCCATGTCGCATTTTCGCTTACCGGCATCCTTTCCGCTTGTACGGACTAGGCCTTCTCACAGGCTACTGGCGCCTTCATGACAGCTTTTATTGGTACTTCTCCTCACGTTGCAGTTGCAGTGGGGATATATAAACGTTGGTCTAAAGGGCCATTAGCTAATTGACGCAGCTGTCGGACGCAACGCTTCCGTCGTCAGGCCCCAGCCCGATGCAGCAACACCACAGATGCTCACGTCGGACACCCGGCCTTCCGCCACCACAACAGCTCTCCATTGACACAGGGCTGGATCCGGGAACTACTTCATTTCTCCACTGTCAGTGGACTATTGCGCAGCTTGGAGGGTTGTACCACATTCATGGGCAGCCTTGCTGCGTCTTAATATGTCGTATACTTGATGCCCCCATATACTTCGTGCCCGCGTAGCTGTGTTGTGGTTGAATTCGTTGGACTGTGGGACCCAAGCAGGCAATGTGGGCCCCAACCTTTCACACTAAAATATTAGTTCAATCCTGGTTTTGAATTAATCCGCGGATCTCACACTTCTTCGCACTTCCGTTACCCCCTCGCGCTCGGCAACCGCGATTGGCATCGATATATATAGCCTATGTTCCAGCTTGTTAATTGTAGTGAATCTTCGAGCTCGCAAACCCTGCTGCTGCGAGTTGCGCGCCGCTGCTGGCACGTGGCTTACGAGTCACCCAGATGGAGCTCGAGCCCAATCACCCAATCCCCAATATCTTTGCAACCCTCCTGGAGGATTGTTTCGGCATGGTGTACTGATTCATAACGAACTGCTGCCGCCCAGGGTAGCTGTGAAGCTGCCGCAGGAAACGATTTAGAAGCTCGCTGGGCGAGTCTGTCGGTCGGGAGTTGCGTGCGTGTGCGCGACCAAGTGCCACTTATTGGTGGCATCCTCGCTTGTCGTATAACAGCGGAAGGGCAGCCAGTCCCTCCGCTCGATGAAATGAATAAATATATTCCGACTATTAAACTTTTATGCTTTGCTTATGTGCTGGGTAAGTAGTCGGCCACGCACTTTGCCAGGCTTAGGTCCAAACCAACTAACTTCGCGTGTCGAGTTGCCTTCATGGCGATATGAGCGTTAGACGGCATCATGTATCTGGATCTTTGAATCAAAAGTTTATTTGACGTCATCGCATTATCTCTCTCACAGTCATTGAGCCAACGGCAGGTGTGCATCTGCAGCCGGGCAGCTGACTGGCATAACGCCAGAGAATTATGCGCTCTCGCTTGACTGGTCGAACTTTGCATTTGATTGGCCCAAATTGGCCGCTGCTGAGATACTTCTTGTCCCTATTACGTTGTAATAAATGAGGGTCCTTGCAAGGGGCTCCTTGCTGCGCTCATTTTTATCTACAAAGTAAACTCAGCATTTGGGTGATGAGTGCGGCCACGTATTTGCTGCCTGAATTGCCATGCACGGTTCCGGAGCCATTTGCCTGGTTGCTTGGTTGCTTTATTCGCTGCTGCTCACCGGTTTCGACTTAACCCCTGAGATCGATTGGCACACACACGTACACACGTACACACATACACACATACACACATACACACATACACACATACACACATACACACATACACACATAGACACATACACACATACACGCATACACACATACACACATACACGCATACACGCATACACACATACACACATACACACATACACACATACACACATACACACATACACACATACACACATACACGCATACACACATACACACATACACGCATACACACATACACACATACACACATACACACATACACACATACACACATACACACATACACACATACACACATACACACATACACACATACACACATACACACATACACACATACACACATACACACATACACACATACACACATACACACATACACACATACACACATACACACATACACACATACACACATACACACATACACACATACACACATACACACATACACACATACACACATACACACATACACACATACACACATACACACATACACACATACACACATACACACATACACACATACACACATACACACATACACACATACACACATTCCTTGAGAAATTTGAGGATAGCACTCCGTCCAGCTCGCAGCTCATCAGCCTGTAACCCCACCGACAAGCGGAATCCGCCGCCGTGCCTTGACACTCGCAGTCCGGAAGCCCAACCTGGAAACAGACAGCGTCAGCTGCTTTAAACCACAGCTTGTCAGCTACGGGCTGCAGCAAAGCAGCTGCGTGTTTTGACCAATGGAGCACTAGCTCCGTACTGTTGCCTAGTCGTGCCACAAGCACCGGGTAACAAAGAATGTTCCTATAGGCTGTTGAGCCGGCATTTCATTTTTTTACCAGCACTCCTGCCCACGATATTGCGTCAGGCAGCCACCAAGTTCTGGGATGGGAGACTAGCAGCGGTTCCATTTCCCCTAGCACGGAATACAGCTACGCTGCTGGAACTACTCTCAGCCTTCTCAGTCCATGCGGTGAACGACACGTATTGCCTCGTGTGACAGATGTAAGCTGTCTGCACGCTTGGCAAGATTGAATCAGCAACGCCTGGGCTTCTAGAGGCACATTACCTTTATTTCATTTTTTAGCGTTGGGTCAAAATTTTGATGTTGCCAAGTAGCGGCTGGCGAGCAGAGTCTTAGAGCGGTAATGAACTTTTGAACTAGCTGTGGCCTGGTGCTAGCTAGGTAGCTAGCTAGGGTCGATGCACATCAACTCTCCGCGTGTATCAACGCGTGCAAAAGCCGTAATTTGTGTATATCCATCGGCCGACAATCCGCATGCCAATACGTTCAATGCCCTGCATTTTCAAATACTTTACGGTTTATGACTTCGATCTATCTTACATTGTAAAAATAATGTGAACTCCGTCATTACGCAGCTAACCAGCCACCCGCCAGCCTCCCGCCTTTGCGTGAGCTACCTGCAGCACAGATTATCTTTAAGAACAGTAATAACGAATCGAATGAGAGTCTTATTAAATACATGCGAGAGCATGTAATAAGCCATTTTTAGGCTCCATCTGCAGCAACTGTCGACCTAATCACCGCTCGTCAGATGGCACAATAATGTTCTCGCGTGCAGTTAATAAGACTCCACGACTGGTTACTACTACTCTTCAAGCCCCCACGTCGCACCACTACCAGGCAGGCGGCCGCGGCCGCCGCCTCGCTACCGCCAGCAACTAGCAAGCACACATCAACAGCAGCCAACCAAGCCGCGCATAATAACCTGGAATCAGGATCCTGCCCTCGCCACTTGCATAACATCTCACTCGCGATATGCGGCGGTCGATCTATATCGTCAAAAATGTCTGCCAGTGGATACGCTCTCCAGAAGTAATTGACGTGATGTTCATCACCTGGCCGCCTTGGGGGCGTAGATAAATATTGCTTTGCTAAATATTGCGTTCCACAGGAATAGGTCGATAATTGCGTATCATACATCTGAGGACCTTGCAATGCTATTTGATCAGTTCGACAGAATTGATCTTTCTTGGCTGGAACAGGCATGAATTGAAGGTAGGAGCGCCGAAGATGAACGTAAATTGCTGAGCGATGAATGCAGCGGCACCTAGCGCCGCCGCCGCCCACCGGCAACGTCAATATAACCGAACAAATACTCCCGCAGCCATGAAAGTCGCTCGGTGCAGTTTTCTTACTTATCCTTTGAAATCCGTACCTCAACTAAACAACGAATAATAATCGAATCAAACAACTAACAAATAATGAAGCATTGAAATCGCTTTGGGGCTCGTAGTAAAATATACTCTTCTACCGTTGTATCGAGCTGCAAGATGGAGCTAGCAGCTAACCAAGAAAGGCACCCCCTGGACATTAGCGATAAGTTCCCAGGGTATTATAATTATCGTAAATGCATGCGTCCCAGCATTACGCATGTGTATTACTTGGTACACAGAACGGCACACATATCAACTGCAAATACGCGTGGAGCACTCCACCCGCATCTCCAGAGGCCTTTTCAGCTTCCGGGCACTACAGCGTGGCTAACTACTGCTGGGTAGCTAGCTTGTGCACGCTGGGCCTGTCGGACATACATACATACATACATACATACATACATACATACATACATACATACATACATACATACATACATACAGTATTAGGATGCAGCAACATACGCTACGACGTGGGTAGTCTAAATTATTACTAGATTATCAACACGGATTGATACATCAGATCGAACATTGCGGCTTCCCAAAGCAATGAATTGCATTGTCGGCGGTCTTATGAGGTGTTTCCACTTGGGATTGGATTGACGTCACAGGTCAGGGCACGGAAGTCCTTGGCAGGAGCTCATACCACATAGTTTCGCGCCAAAGGTTGTGAAGGCGAGGTAAGTTAGCCAATAAAAACTTAGTCGCTCACGCAACCAGGTATCGATCGAGGGGGGCGATAGGGTTAAGTAGCGATGTTGTTAATCCGAAAAGAGAACAGCCCCCATACGGTGAGAATCAATTAAGGATAAGTATTACGATAAAACTCCGACGCGCCCGAGTAAAGTGGGAGACAGAAATGTGCACAAGGAAGCGTGAGGGTGTATCGACCGCACGGACTCTAACAACTGACACGCGACTCTAGGAACAACATCAGCCTCCCATCAGCACGCAGAGTACATGCGCGGCGCCAATTGACACCGACTGTGCCGCGTTAGTTGTTAGTTGTTTGTTGCAACAACCTATCAACGCGCCGCACGCTAATGCAGACGTGGGATGCATGTCCAGAAGGAGTAGTAATGCTAATGTAAACCCCCATCGACATGACGAGATCGGGCTACATGCCGGATTGGATAATTTATCATTTTTTGTTTGGGGGGCCCAACTGTTGTATCACACACTACTAATACAACAGTATCAGTACTTTTCTGTGGTCGTACATGGCACGTACGACTGCAGAAAAGTACCTATCGGCCGATGTCAGAATATTCCGTGATACGAACAGAGGATACAACAGCAACCAAAGTAGTCGCGGAGCTCATACCACATAGTTTCGCGCCAAAGGTTGTGAAGGCGAGGTAAGTTCGCCAATAAAAACTTAGTCGCTCACGCAACCAGGTATCGATCGAGGGGGGCGATAGGGTTAAGTAGCGATGTTGTTAATCCGAAAAGAGAACAGCCCCCATACGGTGAGAATCAATTAAGGATAAGTATTACGATAAAACTCCGACGCGCCCGAGTAAAGTGGGAGACAGAAATGTGCACAAGGAAGCGTGAGGGTGTATCGACCGCACGGACTCTAACAACTGACACGCGACTCTAGGAACAACATCAGCCTCCCATCAGCACGCAGAGTACATGCGCGGCGCCAATTGACACCGACTGTGCCGCGTTAGTTGTTAGTTGTTTGTTGCAACAACCTATCAACGCGCCGCACGCTAATGCAGACGTGGGATGCATGTCCAGAAGGAGTAGTAATGCTAATGTAAACCCCCATCGACATGACGAGATCGGGCTACATGCCGGATTGGATAATTTATCATTTTTTGTTTGGGGGGCCCAACTGTTGTATCACACACTACTAATACAACAGTATCAGTACTTTTCTGTGGTCGTACATGGCACGTACGACTGCAGAAAAGTACCTATCGGCCGATGTCAGAATATTCCGTGATACGAACAGAGGATACAACAGCAACCAAAGTAGTCGCCAGCCGCTCTGTCCTGTCAGGGCCAACAAGTAGATAACCATATTATGGACCATAAAATGTTTTGATTTCTGTACGGCGCAACCCGGTGCAACAGGATGGACGGGTCCATGGTGCCTTCCTAACATATATACCAGGGCACAGTCTATCGACGATCACATACTTTATAGACCTAGTTGGTTGCTAGTCAAGTGCTAGTCATTTCGCGATTATCCCAGTGACAACAACAGGTGGGGAAGAGGTAGTGAAATGGGGGTGGCAATTAGCATGCCCAGGGAGACACAGGCCGCGGCGGTGATGGTCGTGATGGTGATGGTGGTGATGATAATGGCGGCGGAGGTGGCGGAAGTGTTGTTGGGGTAAGCGGCGGTGATGGGGCCGAGGGCACGGCTCCCGTCCTTGAACCGGGAATGCGCGGCGGGCTCGCCATTGCAATATGTTTGCTACTGCTCCATTTGCTGTTGATCTTGAAGCAGCCGTTATTGCAGGCGTTATTGTTGTTGTTGCTGTTGTCAGCACTCTGGACGCCACGTAGGCTGATGAACGGCTCCACCTGGATGTCGTACAAACAGGCCAGCTCCGTGCCCTGAATCAGGAGTGGCACATCGGAGAAGTACGACGAGCGCAGAATCTCGTCCATCGTACGGCGGTCATTGGGGTCCAGGCGCAGGCAGGACTCCAAGAGGGAGAGCAACTGGGGGCTGACGGGGCGGGAAACGTCGGCGTTGCGTGAAAGGCTGGCGCGCAGGTAGCCGTACGGGTCGTACGGCGGCAGCCTGCGTGTCAGTGCATGGACCACGGGACACACGTCGCTTATGTCGCGAAACGCTTATTGAGATGTGTAGAGCCAGGATATATACCGGATACCCCGCCTTCCATGCCTCCCACACACCCACTCAAGCCGGCCCCCCCTGTCACCCACGCACCCGCAGAACTTCATGATCCGTATCATCTGGTCCGCATCTGAGCTGCCGGGGAGCAGGGGCCGACCCGAGGCCAGCTCGGCAACTGTGCAGCCAAACGACCAAACGTCTGCAGGAGGGGCGCACGCAACAGAAAATGATAAGCAAGAAAGAGCGGCAGGGAGGGAGAGCGATAAATCAGAGGATCACTACAATAATGCAGCTGCGGAGGAGAGAGCGGGTTAGCGAGACCTTAGGCAAGATCTGGAAGATTTGACTGCCGTGCAAGCCCGTGCACAGGTCCATGTCAAGCCCACCACGAAAGGCGCCAAGGGCTGCCCCTGGCTACCACCTACCTGCCGCAGGTCCATGGCATTGCTTAATGAGGATCTCCGGGGCCTTATAACGCCGTGCAGCGACCCTAAGGACCGCATCCGCATCTTTATCGTAGGGGACCTCGCGCATTGACGATATGAACCTGTTGCCGAGTCAAGGTCGAGGGTCTCAGTGGATCAGATCAGTCATGATGCGTGTGTAATAAAACCTACAGGCGCTCTGCCGAAGTTTCTAGATGTGCTGAGACATGTCGACACTGTTGAAGTGTGTCGGGATGCTTCTATCGAAACGTATCGAGACATTGAGGCTATTCAGGCTTTTGGCGATTCGATGGAGAAGTATACACTCCGGGGCCAGGAACCCCGGTGTGTGCGTTACGTTGCCTAGCGATGTCGGGGTTGGGAGGCGATTGTCAGCAACCTGCCAGTATTATGATCTCAAGTATACACGCCTGTGGCCCTTATCCGTGTTGCCAGCCTCAACCCCAAAACCGCCCACTGTCGTGTGGTAGGAGATCAAGCCAGCCCGCCTAAACGGTGTATGTATGTAACTGTGGCGCATAGCCACTATATATAGCCGGGGCCGGGCTCGGACCCTGCTGAAAAGCTGGACTTCTCGAACCAGTTTGTCCCAGCCCGGAATCGGTTCTGTGATCTTGTAATCGCAAAGCCGGTTCCCGAGGGGATTTTGCTTTTCCGGAAAGAAACCTGGTTACCTAACCAACAACTTTGCCAAGATATCATCTACAATCAAGGCGGCCTCCCGTTACAACCTTGCACGAAGATCACACATGGCCAACACACGCCAGCCCATGCCATCCTAAACATGAGACACAAACAGAGATGCAAAGAGCGCAACATGTCTGCCTAAGCCACCGTTGTAGATGTAAACATGAATGAGTCCTAGAGCATCTCATCTCTTAGGATGCATGACCGCATCCCACATTACACATTTTTGGCCAGCAGTGTACCCTGGCCTATGCGCGAACACACTCGTCACACCTCGTTCGCACCTCGCCGAGCCGAAGTCGCACAGCCTGAGGACCCCAGCATCGTCCAGCAGCAGATTGGCGGGCTTGATGTCGCGGTGGATGATCTGTGGGAGGGGGGTGCACAGCAGGGGGGGGGGGAAAGCAGTCAGACAGTACGGCAGGTGTATTCCTATTAGTGCGGCATTAATGCGGTTGGTTGTACGAAGAACAAATGCGGCATCAGCAAAAGCATGCATGCAAAAACCACCCAGCCGTCTATCGCACCTTTTTGTCGTGCAGGTGCTTGATTGTCTGGGCCAGCTGCCACGCCAGCAGCTTCACTTCGGGACCGGACAGCCCACCGTAGCCCCGGGTTCGCAGCTCCGAAGACAGACATCTGCAGCAGAAAAGGTAGATGGCATCGATGTAGTGTATACACACCGTAAGGTGCCCTCGGCCCTACCCCTCCTTTCCTTCCCTTCCTGGCCCCTTGGCCCCTTGGCCCCTCACCTCACCTCGGCACATACTCGGTGACCAGGCGGGGCCTGCCACTGGAGCCCACAGAGGCCCCCACCAGGCCAACAACCACGTTGGGATGCGGTTGGGAAGTGCTGAGAACCGAAAACTCGCGGTGAAGCTGACGGGAGCCCTTAGGTGGCGAGAGGGAGGGATACCCGGGGAAATGTGCAGGTCTTGCAGGGAAAAGGAAAAACGCCCGCAAGCCTACAGACATACACACAAATCACACGCATAAACACACACACACACACACAGACACACCTGACAATCCTTCGGCCACAATTCGGCACTAATACTTAGCCATTGCTCCACAGACATACACGCACCAGTGACCGAACGAGTGCCAGCATATATGTGCCTCGACCAGAGAGGGCAGCCACATCACATATAGCTCAAACTCTCAAGCGATGCATCTCAGTTGCCTATTGCCTAATTGATAACTCACCAACTCCCCCTGGTACGTTTCAAGGTAGCTTTTGACTTCCACAAGGTGAGGCTGCCGGTCCACGGTGGAACCGCTGGCAATGCTGTGCATGGTTGAGGAGTCCGTGTACGATACGGAAAGGATGGCCGCCGTCGATGTTGTTGATGGCGGTGCTGGTGATGGTGTTGGTGACGGTGTTGGTGATGGTGTTGGTGATACTGATAATGGTAAAGATACGGCGGTGGCGTCTGCCACCACATCCTCGAAGCACAAAAGCATGATGGCGGCGGTTCCAGAATCTAACGGCCAGAGAGGTGCCCCGTACTGCAATTCCATCATGTTACAGGAAGAGGAATTGGCGGGATGTGTTAAGGCGCGGCAGGTTGAGTCACGTGTAGGTGTTGGGCGGGGCCACCGGTGTGCATCAGTAGGTATAGGATGGCAGGGAGTTAGATGGCGGTTAGTTGGCAGCCAGTTGGTGGTTAGCTGGTGATGTGAGTTGGTAAGGGAGCCTTGTGATAGTGGGGAAGAAGCAATGGAATAACGGACTAGCATGAAGTGGGCATTCCACGGACGCATTGAAACGTGCGGCTGGATACATGAAATAATTAAAATTTGAATACAGGTGCTATTAGGATTAAGAAAGGCTAGGTAGCACTAAGTCCGCAGAAGAACGGGCACCGGTCTCCATGGCCGCACCATCACAATCTAGATTTCTGATCACATCCAAGACATGACATCTAGTAAAGCTATATATTTTGACCAACCTTTGCTGTAGTGATGGCCAGCCGATGCTCGCCTGTCGCTTCGTGGTCGCCAACTGGGACATAAAGTTCCGGCATAACCTCCATTCCTGGCCACCAGTAAAACAATTAAAAATGCGCCTCAATAATCTCCTGATGCCGTCGCGCGAGTTCTTAATCGTCCTAAGTGACAGCAAACCCAGTCCTGCCCAACTGAAGCGCGCTGCCGATGTAGCCGTTTATCGTGGTTAAGTAATATGATATAAATCACGTTGCGGTCATTTGAACATACGATTCGGCGCTTTCACTGTTGACGGGGAGCCTAAATTGCCGGATACGGATTGCTCGCTACGCTCGGACAGAGTAAGAAACGCAGTACAAATTCGTTGAGTCACGAATCTCTCAGCGCCATACTGCACTTCCCTGGCCAGCCCCCAAAAAATTATCGTGGTAAGATTGCTTTAACCAACCCTGCAGTGCTGTGGGAAAACAGTTCGATTGGTGTCACCGAAGCCCCACAGGCTGTCTGCACGCCATCGATACATAAAAGTGCCTGTATGGTTGTTACAGACTGTTTGGCTCCAGACTCACGAAGATTAGAGCTAGCTGGCCAGCTGGCCGTGCATTATTACGGCACCTGAGATTAAAGTGGTGATGTGCGTGGGGTCGCACAGTCTGCAGCGACGGACAAATAGCAATACGGTACGTTTTATTTCTCAACTACTTGCGACATAGGCCACAGGGGTTACGACGCGACTTGCAGGACCTCATAAATGTACTACCTAACGGCCGCCACGCATGCATTGTCTCAATCAGCTCCTAGCTGAAAGGCCGCAACTTGTGCTTCGGGAACGCTGCTTGCGGCAATCGTAGTAGTATAGTAGTGCAGGTAGTAGGGCAGGTATTACAGCGAGCCCCAGGTCCCAAGGAAAAACCCTAAGGCAATCATGTCCAATTAAGGCAATGGCGCTTTGGGGAGTTGTGGGGTGTCGAAACTCTGGCATGACAGATAGGTGGATATGCTCATAGCTAGGAGTTCTGCATTTAAATGTCTTCCGTGGGGATGGCAAACAAACATGGCAAACTGATCTCGATTAATTGACAAAGGTTAAAAACTGCTACTGGCGATGATTCCATGCTATTGCTAAATTATAACTCTCATGCTATTATACGTATATTATTATGTTATAAGCATCCTAAATTGAGGTCACCGATTCAGCATTTTACTTCGCAAACAGTCAAGCTATTCAGGACACAGGCACTTTTAAGCTGCAAAAAGCGCAAATCGGTTCGCGAGAAGAGGATTATTGCTTGAATGCTTACAACACAACAAACGTGTGCGTTTGTCGACAATGGGTCGAATGATCGAGCCTGCAAGGGTGAATGCAGCTCTACACTACGCCAACACACAGACTAGTGTGTCCGACATGCCCGTCGCCCATAAGCCACCACCACCACCAGCAGCATGCGCCCCCGAGCAAGCTCCAGTCCGATGCACGACCGGGTGATGCGGCGGCCAGTGCAAAAGGGGCAGAAGGAGCTGTTCATCATGGCCACACAATGTGCTAAGTAAAACATGTCAATGTGTAAGACACACACATACATACACACACACGCGCACAGTCCCTGGCCAGTGTCAGGCCCGGTCAGATATACACACACACAACGCGCACACACACACACACACAACCAAAACCGGCGCCTTGGTGGGTCATGCATGGTCGTCGCTGTCGCGGTCTCGGTCACATAAGGTTCGTCTGAGGTTTTGAGAGGCTACTGATGGCAGTGTAGCTTTTACAGGCCGGAATTCCCTCCTCCACCACCACCTTACACAGAAACACAGGGAAAAGGGCTTCCCCCTCCCTCCCACCCACCCTCCCTGCGTCCCCAGTTCGACCCCACCCGCATTCACGATTTACAAAGATTCACTTTTAATGTTGTCAGGTGGCAGATTGCGGGTAGGAAAGACGCCGAACCAGAGCTTTCCCCTTCTACTTCGTGTTTGCTGGCAAGCATGTGTAAAATGGTGGTACGATACGAAGACGAAAAGCAGCAGTATCGCAGGCGTCAAACAATCATACGCGCATACACACACATACACATACACCGTGCGAAGCACACACACACACATACACGCGCAGTTGTGCACCCACGAACACAACGTCACGACATAGGAGGCGTGCACATGAACATTGGCACTTCAGTTCTTGCACATAAAATTCACCGACATACGTGCACAGAGGGATCCCCCAGATATGAATTCCAACACGAGGCGAGACAGCAAAACAAAATTACACAAATACATACATAGAGACAGACAGACGTACATGAACACACAAACATACAAGCACATTTCCCATCATCCTCACCCACACACCGCCACGCATGCACTCGGGAGGCGTCCTCATACCCTCTCCTACACCGCCCCCGCAACCACCCCTGTCGCCTCTTCCTGAAAGACAAGGCCAAACCACAGTTAGGCGACCGACCTCCTCCCCCCGTACACGCTGTGTGATTACCTCGCGTATGTCACAAACAGTCTCGAACCCACCACAAATTTGTCCTGCATCGTCCATCACACCCACCTTGTGGCGATGTACGTACGTACATGCAGACAAACACGCCCACGTGCATTTACACGGCCACTTTCATAGCACCATGGCTGCTCTACCACACAGACCAGTCTGCGGACGTCTGTAACCTGAGCGTGGTGGCGCCTATCCGCACATATCCGCGTCTCCAAATCCGAGGCCGCGTGTCGCCCAATTCCAGGTCTCGGGTTACAGACGTCCGCAACCTCTGCAACCACGTCCAGTCATCAATACGTCAATAGGGCTTTGCATTCACAGCGCAGCATCTTCACGACTAAACACCGTTCGGGGGGGAGGGGTTGCCCATCCCACCCGCCCATCTAGAAGCTGCTCCGCCATTCATAAAAGCTGCGCAGCAACAGCATACCACCACACACACCTTTTCATGTGTTCTCGCACAACCACAGTGCACGTAACGCTTAAACCTGTAAAGCAACGGGTCCATACGGACTCTACTAAAAGTGGAGGTCAAGGTGAAGGCAAGGCCCCTCATCCGCTGCACAGACAGACTGTTTCAAGCTGCACAGTAGCGGTGTCAGAGGCAGATGTGTAGAAAAGCCTTCACAGCTCGTGATGTTGCAGCAGCTGTGCCATGGCGGGATTGATTGTATCTATCTGCGCATTAGAACCGTGCCAATGCTGCGGCGCACCACTTCTAGCAACATGGCCACGGCGCACGCAGGGTATTCTATGTAATTACCGTACACACACAGTCACACGTCATCCGCCATCACAGTGCATGTAACGCGCAGTTCCTCCTCCTGCTCCTCCTCCTCCTTCTCCTCCTGCAACGCGCATCATCTCCCCCGGCCGTCATTTCAACCCCATACGACTCCATCCGGGAGAAGGCAGTCGTTTTAAGCCGCCGCGCACATTGCCTGTTTTCTGGTACCCAATTAGAGTCTGCAAGATCCAAGATCCATAAACAAAAGATTCCATTATCCGTGATTCAATTCCTGCCCGAAAGCCGGGCGTCGTTGGTCAGGTAGTCATTGAACAATCTTGCGGAAAAAACGGCGGGCAAAAGCACGGCGTACATTGTAGTAGCGGACCCAGAACTCGATCCGGACCAATCAAACCAGTCAGAAGTTAACGGTCAAGCCAGTTGAGGTGTTTAGCCCGATTCGGCAGATGAGAAAGAAGACGGTTGGCTGGGAGGTAGACGGATGGCTTAGGGTGCCGTAACCCAAAGAAAATTGAAATATAGCAGAGGGAGAGAGAGTGATTGAGAGACAGAGGTGGCCGATGGCATGTGCGCGCTGGGCAGGTACGGCTCCAGATGTGCTTATGTTTGCGTGCGTGTGTGCGTAAATCGGGAGGGAGGGAGGGAGAGTGCGAAAATCGCAGCGCCGACGAATGCCGCAGCCACAAAAGCCTCATTTGGCAACATCAAATCTAGCTTCCTCCTCTGCAGCTTTTCGTTCAAGAAGAAAAGAGGGCAGAGGGCAGTAGCATCCAACACATTAAACACCCACACACGCGTGTACCTGCACAACTGCACTCCAACAGAGCACCCGCCTCCCTCCCTGAACCGGGCAGCAGCAGAGCCCTATTCGCCAAGCGAAGATACCCATCGAGCTCGATGGAAACACATGCCAAAGAGAGCACAAAGGACATATGTCCACATGCCCCTAACATCCACATCCCCTCCGAAAGTTGCCATTTCTCTCATCAAGCCCCGGCACGAAGCTACAAAAGCCACGCCTGGCGCCGATCAAGCATTGCACCGTGCAAAAACACACGCACGGGACCCGGGGTGCCAGAGGCCAGGATGCGACCCTCAACACTTCCGAGTGGTCGCGAAAAAGACAATCATGCCAAGACGCGTACGGGTGACCATATGTGTACGCGCACAGTAGCTGTCTCAAGATGTCCTTAACAACGTACTGCGCGTTGCGTATGTACGTATGCATGTATGTAGGTGTATAGGTTTCTTGAAGAAGGACATGACATTGAAACAGCCGAGAAGCAGAGGCTCGACTGGGGAGGGGTGCCGCACACGCTTCGCCCCCTCCCCTCCCCTCCCCCGCCCCGGATGGCCCTTCCCCCACCAACACCCCTGACGTGTGGGCAGGGTTATGTGTGGGCTGATAACCTCACAGTCTTGCCGCAGCGTCCTACCCGGAAAAGTCCAGAAGCGCAGAAGAGCGTCAGGAAGTGTGTGGCTGAGCGGGGGTACTTGGCGAAAAAAGTGCAGAAGAGTGCAGGAATGCGGGAAGAGCAGAGGCGATGGAACAAGCCCAAGGCGGCGACCCCGACGCGACCCCGACCCCAGATGCGGAGAAACAGAAAAGACTCGCACATCCCACTCCAAAAACACCCGCCGCGTCCAAGGCGCTCTCCCCCCCGGGTTGCTTTCCCCGCCGGGGGACGCGTGCGGCGAGGGGGCCCCTTGAGATGGGAGCCCTTTCTGTATGCCTTGCAAACCGTGCATGTGCATGTGCGCGCGCACGGGGGCACTGCGCGTGAGCACCAGGTCCATGCCACAGGCTTTTATGATGCCAGGACTCCCAACAGCGCTTACGGATGGCCGCTTGCCGTTCGGGACGTGACAAAAATGTTCCAGTGTGAAAGATCTAGGTGTGAGGACTTCCAGGAAAAACATTGTGTTGGGAGTCCAACGAGACAGACAGCACGACAGACGAACACCACCTTTCGCATACCCACACGTATCAAGCAGGCACGTTTGACGCACGTTTTGTCAAGCCGCATGGAAGCATGGCTCCCAAGCAGGCATTTCACAATTGCCACCCCAAACACTTCTCCTCTCCAAAACTCTCACGGACGTGATTAATTGCCGGACTCTGCTAAGCAGCATTTTCCGCCAACTCCCGCAGCGGCCCTTTTTCCCACCCCCCGCTGCTGCAAAATGAGGCAAGGACCCCAACAACAGCAACAACAGCACCAAAGTAGGAAGGTCAGCGGATGCGGCCGCGGACGTGGTTACGGAAGCGCGCGCTATGTTACTAACACGCATTAAGCAGCAGACACATCAGTCTACCTGCCAAGTAGGCTATAAGTAGGGGAATGACAAGGCAGCAACGTCACCAGCAACCCCTCACCACATCAAATTGGCAACACAGCAGCAGCAGCAGCAGCAGCAGCGGCTGCGGCGCACAGCATGCCGGAATAGGGATGCCAATGCACCATACATGATCTAAGATGCCAGGGACATAACGCATACGCCACATACACCACATACACCTACATACATATACACGTACTAGCCAGTGGCCATAGACAGACATACACACCAGCAGACAAGCCGACACGCAGACAAGCCCGGCTCGGGATGTAGTACGGTGTAATCCAACCACAAAGGTATGCACGCGTACATACATACACACCTACGTTCATGCATATTCATGCACACAAGAACCAAACTCCATTCCAGCATCAGCCTCAAGACAAAAATCCAGTGGCGCGCTAGACCCCGTTCCCCACATCCTCAGCTCCGAGACCGGCCGAGTCGCCCAATCCCCCACATGTGCCCGCCCACAACGCGGGACCAGATCCAGATCCAGATCCAGTCTGAGATCCAGAGAAATTTTCCTAAGCCCCTACAGCAGCAGTGTAGTAGCCGCGTAGTAACCTCTCTACAGCACCTCAGCCCGTGTCGGGTTTCAAACACAACAGGTGTGTCCCACCACCATCCAACTCTCAACGCTATTACCCCCCCCTCTCTTTTCCCATTCGCGCGCGAACTTCCATAAAGTCGACGACCGCGTCCTTTGTTCCACTGTGCAAGGCCTACAAACCAAACAACTTATTATATATGCATCGTGGCCGCTGGCCGACTGTAATGCGTATACATCAAGTCGGTACGACGTACAGTACGGTACTGGAAAAATCATGTACTGCCCACTGATGTCGAACGTACATACATTTCGCGCCACCCGCCTCTAACGACACGTCGTCGTCCACATGCAACCAGAGTCTGGAACACAGTCCAGAAAAACACAAGGTTTGACCGCCGCCTTGATGAAAAAGACGTGTCCCTCCTGTCGCCTGCCCGCGTCCCTCCTGCCGAAATGTGTCACGTTCTCCTTGACGACGATCTCGTCCGGAGCAAATGCATGTGTGTGTGTGCACCCAACCGCCGCCGTGCCTGCAAAGACAAGCCAAAAAGCCAGAACCCCTGCCAAAGACAATCCTGCTCCACACGTGCTTCCATTTTACCTTTACCCAAAATATACACACACACAGATTGGCACACACGTACACCAACACCTTAACCCAGCACATGCCTCATCCAATCACATTCCTCAACGACTCTTAGTAACACCCACTGCCGCGCCTGCCTGGTTCGCGCACCAGGGTGACAGCGCATATGAGCTCGTGGCAGCAGCTATCCTGTCAAGCCAGAGCAGCCCAGCGGCCCACGGGTCATGAGTCCAGGATTCCAAACACGCGAGAGCAGGAGAGCGCGGGGCGGGCCATCTGATCATTCCGCGATGGCGATTTGATCGCTCTCCTTGCAGTCGCCAAACATGACGACAAGCACACAGCTACAGCAATGGACAACATCCACGGTCTGTCCACGACTTTTATCCATTTCTCAATCCCACTCGTCTACATTTCGATTTTCATTTCTGCGCAACTCAACGTCAATAATCTCCTCCCGCGGCGTCACCAGCCGCCATGCCTCCGGTTCGAACGACACCTCCGCCGCTGCCGCTGCTGCCGGTACTGCTGCCGCAGCCGGCGGCGACAGTCCGTTTCCGGCCTCCGAGTGCGATGGTGAGGAGCTGCAGCCACTGCCGCCGGCGCCGCCGCTGCCACTCGTGCCGCTGCCGTCGCCGTCGCTGTCGCCGTCGACGGCGGCGGCGACAGCCGCCGGGGCCCCAGCAGCAGCGCCGCTCGTGACGGCCAAAGCACGTACGGGTAACAGCGCACCCGCTGGCTCCTCCCACACGCTACCAGCTACAGGTCGAAACAGCCCATCACGACCTTCCCTCAGCCATCTGAGCAAAACATTACCAGGCGTGGGCGCAGGTCGCGCCAGTCGCTGGACCAAGAAAAAGAACCGCTTGTCAGAGGCCGCCGCCGCCGCAGCAGCAGCGGCGGCAGCGCGGCGGCCCGACGGCGCGTCGGCGTCGCCGACAATCGCCATGGGTGGGCCTACAGCCGGCTCCTGGGAGGGCGTATTAGTACGAGCCTTGAGCGCCATGGCGGCAGCTTCCACCGTCGACCGCGGCTTGACGGCAGTAATGACCACACGACCCTCGGCGTTTAGTTCAAAAAAAGGCACATCGACTGGTTGCGGCACCGGTTGCGGCTGTGGCGGCAGAGGCAGAAGCTGCTGCGGTGTTGGTTCCTCCGCCGCCGTTGACACGGCTGCTGCTGCGACGCGGCCGCCGCGGCTGCGGCTGCGACCAGTGGCTGGAGCGGAAGGGGGCGTGTCCCCTTCTTCCGGGGCGCCGACCTTAGTTTCCGCGCCAGAGTCCCCTATTTGTGCTCTTGTGGCACTACTTCGCCGGCCTGCAGCGGCCCGAGTGCCAGCAAATACACCTTCACCGCCGGCGGCCGCCGCGCCGCTATCCTCCTTCGCAGCAGCGGTACCTTGAGGATCACTCAACCGCACCCGCTTCCTGGTCCCGGCGGCTGCAGCCGCCGCCGCTGCCGCTGCCGCGGTGGCGGCGACGGCGGCGGCTCGCCGCGGCCGGCCGCCAGGGCCCTCCACAGGTGCAACCACCTCTGCCGGCGCGTTCTCCGTCACCAGCTCCTCCTCCTCTGATTTGCGCTTGCGGCCGCCTCGAGCGGGAGCTGCCGGCTGTGGCGCCGCCGCCACAGTCCCAGATGTGGGGGTATCTGCGGCCTTGCGCGGCCTGCCAGGGCCTCGCTTAGCCGCCGCCGCAGCAAGCACCGCTTTCGTTGCCGCTGCCGCAACCGTGGCCTTCGCCTTGGCGGCGGCAGCCGACTTCGCCGCTGCCGCGGAGACGGTCTTGGTTTTGCCGGCAACATTTTTTGTCACGCCGCGGCTCTTGGCAATGGCTTTCTTAACCGCCGCTGCCGCCGCCACCGCCTTCGCCGCTGGCGTAGCCGCCTTCTTGACGCGACTGCCTGGTGCTGCCTTCGCCGCCGCGGCCTTCGATGTGGGCCGCCCACGTCCGCGTGCTGCCGCCGCTGCCTCCTCAGCCTTCGCCGCCGCCGCCTTCTTAGTCAGCGTCCGTCTCCTTTGCGGCTTTGCCCGCTGCGACGTCTTCTCCTCCTCCACCTCCACCTCATCTCCACTGCCACTCTCCTCATCATCACCATCTTCGTCGCTGCTCTCTTCAGGTGCCGCCTTCTTGCCTCCACGACCCTTCTTCCCGTTCGTCTTCTTCTTCTTCTTCCCCTTCGCCGCCTCCGCTGCCGGCGCCTTTCCTCGCGCCTTCTTCGCGGCCGGCGCCGCCCGGCGACCGCCGCTGATACGCCGCCGCTTCGCCGCAACATTCCTCTTCTTCTTTGTCGTCGTCATCCCCTCCTCTTCTTCCTCCTCTTCCTCCTCATTCTCGTCGTCGTCGTCTTCCTCGGACTCCGATGCCGGTTCCGACTCGTGTTCCGAAGCGGAGGACGACTCGGAGGGCGTCTCGTAGGGGTCGACCCACTTGGGGTCGAAGAGCTTCATGCTGATGCGCACACCGTCCTTGAGCGCACTGCAGCGGCACGGCACCGCCGCCTTGCCGACCGGAATCCACTCCTTCATGCCAAAGTTTACGGCCTCCGCACAGTTGAAACCCGAGTTGAAGCCGGCGTGGTAGGCTGGGCGCGCGGCGGCCAGAATCGAATTGACGGGAGACCCGCGAGAGACCGCGCACATGCGCAAAACCACGACGAACACATTTTTTTCAAAAATGTTTTAACAAAACCAGGTGACACCGCGAGTCTTTCTCCACAGAAGTGTACAAACAACCTAACAATGTGAATGTGACAGATTGCTGCTGCTCAACATGCAAGCACCAAGCAAAATAAGCTGTGTTTGCCTGCCTGCCCAACATCCTCACCCCCCCCCGAGTCCCTCATGACCACCCAATTATAAACCCCCGCCACGCACGCGCACACACACACACACACACACTCTGGCGGAACCCTCACGCAACAAACAAACAAACACGCACACACACACGCCCACTCACCCGCCGCGTTCAGCACCACAAACTCGTTGGTCCTCTGACACGCCCTCATGTGTGGTACGCCGTACGTTTTCAGGCACGAGGGTGACAACATGATGTCCTTGTGCCGTACAAAGGCGGGGCAGGAGCGGTGCAGCTCCGGGAATAGGCTCTGCGGGACCGACCAAAGGACGGGGAGAACATTTTATGAAAGGAAACAAGCAATTACCAAAAGGGTGGCCGGCCCAAGAGGGAACATTGAAGGGAAAGGATTTCATGATGCGGCAGCAACAAAAGGTGTGCGCGTTAAAGTGGAGTTGACCAGGGGGAAGGAAAGGGCACGGCGGCGAGGAAGGCAGGAAAGCGGGGCAGGGCGCCACGGGCCAGATCTACATCCCGCCTTGTCCCGCCTTACCTCTCAGCCTTCCCGGGCCTGGTCAACCATCAACCCACCCACACCCAACCCCCCTCCCAACCCACCCCCCTCCAACCCACCTGCGCCATGCGCTCAAACTTGTGTTTCGCTGAGGGCGCCACGCCGTACCACACCTTGGGCGCCCCCCAGTGCAAGAAATTGACCGAGTACAGGTCGGCATCTTCCTTGTGCCAGCCAAAGAAAGACCGCCACATGCCGAAGTAGGTCATGGGGGTGGTCACACCTGCGCAACGTCGCACGGAAGAAGATGAAGTTGTGGGGAAGATGATTGCTGGGAGAATGGTTCTGAAAATGGTATGACCTCTCATATCCCTCTGTTGTACTGCCGATGCACCCAGATATAATATCAGAAAATATGAGGTGTTGGTTATGGTGGTGGTGATGACGATGGTGGTCGTGATGATATATGCATAGTCGGGGAGATCATTGGCATCGTCCCCAAACAAAGAGATACACACCTGGCACACTGTCCACCATTGGATGGTTCTGCAGCAAGTCACCCAGGTGCTGCAAATTCCAGCCGTACGGCAGCTTGTCGTCAAAAAATGATGTTGGCGTATCGGCGCCGTACATTGGCGGGTTGAGGGTAACGTTAGACCAAAAGGCACGCTCCATGTCAGGGTCAACGGCGTCGGGGTCAAACCCCGGGCCACCGCCGCCTTCAATCCCTCCTTCACCCTCAGTCGTTGTTGCGGACACCTGCGCAGGCGGGCAGTTTTGAAGTACGACAGTGATGAAATGGATGAGATGGACGCATGTGTCATGATGTGTAACGAAAGCGCCGTGAGCCCCGTTATGTTATAACCTCTTCCACCGACCATATTGCATCCCCCAGCCCAACGCATTTAGTTGTGTTCCTTAACACAACTAACGCAACCAGCTGCCGTTCCCCCTTCATCCACCGCCTTTTCCCTACCCCCTTCCCCCCTTACCCCTGGTGTCAGCATCATCACTCGTCTGCGGTTCGTTTCCCCCCCCCTCTTACCCCCTCTCCAGCCCTCCCCCCCTGGAAAAAAGTCCACGCTGCCGCGATGACTACAAACCAAGTCACTACGGGTCAGTATCTTACCTACTGTCCTGCATTATTGGTCTCATTTGGGGTGTCAGTCTTTGGTACTTTCTTTTCGTCGATCATCTATGCATTATCGTACCCCCCAAAGTCCACCTGGACACAGCTCACCCGCCCAAACCCAGCTTTACCCCCGTCTCCCCTCGTCCTTCCCTATCCTTCCGAAGTTACCAGCCCCCCTCCTCCTTCCCCGTTGGGTCCCCTCCAAAATCCCTCCTTCCCTCCCCCCTTCCGCACCTTCTGATGTACGATGGAATTCGATTCGTACTCGGATGGCGCTCGGTTACGACGAGCGGATGTCGTACGAGTGCTGGACCGCACACCGACACTGCCGCCACCGGCACCGGCACCCCCCGCGCCCTCACCGCCGCCACCTCCGGCGGCATGAGCCCCATTAGCAGCAGCAGCAGCTGCTGCCGCCGCTACTGCCGCTGCACTGCTGCTGCCGCTGCCACCTCGCAGCCGTGCCGTCTCCTCCTCCGCTGCCTGTTTGAATTCCGCTACCGACATGGGCTTCTGCTCCACAAACACACAACGGTAGGCGCCCTGGGCGGTGGGGTGAAGGGCGCGCGGTGGGGAAGAGTGGGGGTGAGGAGAAGCTTTTTTTCGGGAGCTTTCGAGTTCGCATACGGCACTTTCAAACCGGGGTCAAATTTCTATGGTTTCACGGTGGTGTTGGTCATGCGTTGAATGCTGATAGGTAGGTACATTTGTACGACACATGAAACCCCCCACCTGGCTCCCTACCCCCCTCACCCCCGAGGCATCCCCGGGCCCCAGCACAACTGCCATCCCTCCCAAGCCTTCCGCCGGGTCCCCGCCTACCTTGGTTCCAAACACATGTTGCCGTATAGGCACGTTGATTTGTACCTTCCTCAAATCGGGGAAGGCAGATCGCCGGGGCCGCCAGCCCCGGGGGGGCACCACCTGGCGGGTCCAAGGAGGTGCGCATGTACGTATGTAAGTGTGTGTGCGGGCGGGGACTGGGGACGGGGACTACGGGACATTGGGGCAAGCGTGTGGGTGAGTTGGTCGTGTAACCCTCAAAACACACGACACGCAAGTACACAGCGCGCCCCTCAGTCCCAATTCTCCACCAAATCCCGAAAGCAGCCATCCCCTCCACGCCACCACAGCACATTGCTCCTTGTCACAAGCCCCGAAATGGATCTGCACTCCTCCTTCCATCACAAAAGTGATAACATAACCTCAGTTTCTTTATTTGGATTTCTCATTCAGGTCAGCGAATTTACTTATCTGACTCTTTCCCTCCCTCCCTTGCACGGCTAATGCAGTCCAATAACGAAGGCTTTCATTATCCCATTGGCCCACGGCCGCCACATTTGCCCGTCGGTAGTTCTTGCAGTTTGTATCAATACAAACTTGTGCATACTCGACAGGTCGGCAATTGTTTCTTTCGACTTTTGCACTGATATAATGCCCCCCGACCCCCCGACCCCAGTTCTCCTCCCCCGGCCCCCCCCAAATAAAGACCCAGCTTTCCCAGCCCCCCACACCCAGGTGTGGGCCATAGGCGCCGACACTTGATCCGTAGCTTCTTGCATTGTAAAAATTCCCGCCATTTCCCCTCCCCGCTTTCCCTCCACCCACATTTCCCCGTATTTCCATTCCTAGCGACAAACCCTTTAACACATGGCCACAGGAGGTGGTGCACGCATGTATGTGCGTCAGCGCGTTGGCCGGGCGGTCGGCACACCCAGCGTTAGTGAATCCACACCTTTCCTCTCTTAACTCTTGATCAAGTCTATGCGTACGTTGCGGCCAAAGGAATGTGACATGACCAGGCATCATCCAAGCCATGCTGCCACAGCCGTCGGTCCCCAAACACACACTGACCCGGTCCCCGCCTTGCCTTGCCCCCCTTTTGTGGAGTGCACCATCTCCCCGGTTTTGATACACCCCCACGCCAGTAGTTCGTCTTACGCCCCTTACGCCTCCCCCCCCCACACACACACAAACCACACCCCACCCTCAGCCTCGTTCGTACTCAGCACGCCCACTTCCACGCCCTCTTCAAAGCCACCGATACCACAGGCTCATTCAATTCTTGCACGTAGCTCCCCCTACGAGCCTTCCCCCCTCATGCCCGCATCCGATCTGTTGCACCAAATTAAATTTTCGCCCATGCCTGGCCGTCTCCCCATACGCCGTACCTTGAACATGGGCAAGTCTGGGTGCTTCCGGAATACCTTCCTGACATAGTCACAGAATGGCTGCTCGAACTCCTCCCTTGTGGGTCGGAACACCGGGCACATGGCCCCGTAATCCCCCATGGTGTCGCTGCTTTGGGAAAGCCCTCTGCCGCGTCCACTGCCACTTCCAATACACAATGACCGGCGCGGCTGCTCTTGCTGCTGCTGCTGATCTTGCTTCTGCGGCTAGTATTGCTGCTGCTGCTGCTAGGCCACACTCGAGATGCGATATGACCAGGAGTCAACGCAGGCAGCCACCCGCGTACTTGCACAGGAGCCCTGCGCTGCCGCAAGAGGCGATCTGGGTCGCCGTCAATACCCTGGAACGGTGCTGTGGCAATTGTCTGATGACGGTCTTTTCCAGTGGGGGATGGACCCAGATGGAATTTGACACGAACTGTTACGGAGTGACGCCCCTGGCGCAGGCTGCAGCAGCCGGCGCCCGGGTCCGCTGTTTTCCGTTATGACGGAGCCTAGGGATCGATGTCGCGCGTGGAAGGAACGCGCGCTTTCCGGTGCTGTTGTTGGGACAGCACGACTAGACACGGCCCGGGAGTGAGAGATGAGCGCGCCAAAGGTGCAGGGCTGGACCTTGCAGGTGATACTGTTGATGCGGTTACTGTTGTTATAGGATAATCCAGGCAAGATGTTGGGCTGGGCTGTCAGGACGCGATGGATCTGCTGGTGCCCAGTGTCCGATTGCAAGGGGCATCGGGTAAGAAATGCCAAAGCATGAGAGTCAGGAAGGATGTCAGCGTGGTATGGCGGCATTGGATGGAGGCAAATATATTTTGCTATTCCAAGCGACACGCCGGCCCATGTCGGGGCCTCAGCCGAGCGTAAACGACGTCCACATACCCTATAGACTGGAGCAATAATACCTAGAAGCAAATGGTATCATGCCATGCCATAACAGCACGGAAGGACACTCGCTTCACCGCAAAGTGGTTGATACACTACCACAACGTCGCTAAAGGCACACAGCTGGGGCATCGCAAGCTCGCACAGCCTTTCAGTAATCTTTGTTTTTTAAGTCATGCTCGGCTTCATGGTCGAACCAACGTTTAACACTATAAATTTCGAGGTTTGTGTTCGGCAACTCAGCACCTAAGCACCAGCGCTGATCGGTACCGAAAACTTTCAAAGGCACATAGCACCAGCGCAGTGCGGCAGGGGGCTGCATGCCCTTTCTATACAACACTGCATGGACTGCTCTAGCCATGTAAAGTGGCCCATAGACACCCTGAGTTCCCCGCCAAGCCGAATGCCTTCTGGCCACTTCCAAGTCTCTAACCGTTTTCAAGGATAAAGGCTAAGGGTGCCAGGACTATGTTGATTTAAGTACAGAGTACTTATGAAGAGCCCTCCATGCGTAGTGGACTCTACCTTTCCCAAGTGAGCGTCCCCTGAGCCAGCCCCGATACGTGCTATGCACAGATACAGAGATAAAACCGTAGCACAGAAGCACAAGTGTTGTTTTGAGTAATAACCTCGACTTGGAAGCAGGCCATTCATTGGAACAGCTGCGCATGCCGACTGCATGAAAAATGCGTAACCCACCGCATAAAGATACCCGCGCCGTCTGCTCTCCACAGCCGCTACGCCCACATTCCTCAGTTGTGTGCGCTAGGCTTCCAGCTGCCAAAAGCTCTTAACGATGGAATTTTACCCGCTAGAGACGATATTGGTACCCGCAGGAGAGCAAGCGCCAAGCCTTACTTCATCCGTCATCAGAGACCAATTCGTTCATCTGCAACCCAGGCCGTAACGAGCTGTTGCCTGTTGTCTAAAGTGTTGAAGGTGTTGGGGTCCTGAGACGAAAGGCGGCGTGTATTACGTATTGGGAATACAAGAGGTTTAAATTTTAGCATATGGTAGACAGTGTTATGACTTCGGGTCTGAGTTGTGCAAACGCGCAATTAGTTGCACGCAGATTGTTTCAAGCTGTTTCAGGTACACCGTTGTACGCCACGTCGCGAGTTTTGCGCTGGCTGCTCGGCATCCTGAACTGTGACCTTTATATTCATGCCAAATGTCCACATGTTGGGGAAGCAAATTTATTTATGTACGCGCCTTTCTTTCCTAGCCTTGCTGGCCCCCGCTGACGGGTTGATCGAGCGCAGGGCGTCCCAGAGCCCAGGGCGTGCACATGTGTTATATATCGTTGTTTCTAAAGCTTTACAGCATTGTAGGCTCTCATCTTTGTGCTTTTGCAGCCGCTACCGGGCTAGGAGCCGTGTAGGGCACCCTGTCCTACAGGGTCTCACAATACAGCTCTCACAATACCTTGGCATAGGCATACAGCAACTCCCCTTTGTATGACTATGCATGCAATGTGCGTGTGCGCTGGAACAGACATAAGTGTGCATGTTGCGTAGCAGAGGTGGGCTATGCGAAGGGCTCCCAGCGCAGAGATCCCACACCTCTGCGCCGCACATGATTCCCAGTCCTTATACACAATCTTCCTCAAAATACAGACCTTCATCATAATCCTTCAGATACCTGTGCCTCATTGGACACCAGCTATCAAGTAGAAAAGTCCAAGAAAAAGGATATTGACAACAGGAGCTTACGTGGCCTTACCCCAATATCTCTCATAGCCTTTATTACACGACTAAATCTTTCATCCCAGCTCGCCTTGGACAGCAGCACCTGCGCCTTTCATTCGCGCATACCGTACCTCAGATCAGCCCCTGTCATGCTCCGCTAGTCAAACCAGATCAAGCTCCCTCCCCCGAGAGCTCTCCATCTTATGGCAACCTGTCCTCCCTCTGTCTCAATCAACAGTGTAGCCCCCATGACGCACCCGCGGCACCGCGTCGCGCATCGTACACCACCTGAGCGCACCTGACACACACACACCCCTCTGTTTCCGTCCATGATTGACAGTCCAAGGGCCGAGAGTCCAAAGCTTGCTGCCGTACAACCCACCTATCACACACAGCTCCTCCATGGTCCAGCACGCTCGGTCTGCCATCGTCAGTCGCTTGACTTAGCCCTTAGGAGATCAGAGAATTATCAGGCTAAAAGTATAAGTCATTCAACACGTAGGTTTTATTCCTGACTAAGGCTTCTGCCCCTGGGGATATGCGTTGAGGTTTATCGGGCAGCATAGGGCGCTGGGTAGTGTGGCGCGACATATATAAAGAGGTGCTATCCGGCGCATTTTACAGGCCTCGCCACACGGACACACGCAACAACCCCCACGCACACGCACGCGTGCAAGAAAACAAGTACGAACAATAACAGTAGCTGTGCTCAGGGCCTTGGGTGTAGAGGTCTCGAAGGACAGTTCGAAGGGCAGAGAGTTCTCCGAATTGCAACAGAAACGAAGCCCCAACCAAAGGCGCAGCCTTCCCACAGAGGTCAAATCCTCCCGCTGTCTCCTCAGCAGCTGAATCCTCCGCCGCCGGCCCTCGCCGGCCCCTCCGCCGCCGCCGCCGCCGCCGCCGCCGCAGCAGCAGCAGCAGCAGCAGCACACCTCACAGGCCCCCACCCTTCCAGCCCTGCTGGTGGCGGTGCCACGACCTCCCCCGTTCGAACAGCAAATCCATTCGCCCTATCCGCCCACAGCGCCGTAGAGTCATACGTCGACCAGCAACTCGCCCGCAGCGTTGCCGCAGCGTTACTGCTGCTGCTGCTGCTGCTGCTGCTGCTGCTGCTGCTGCTGTCGGTCGCCGACGCAGCTGAATCGCCTCCTCCTCCCGTGGGGAGGTAACATGCTGTAAGGTTGTTTTGGAAGCAGCCTCACAGCCCTCACAGCACCTTAGCCGTCGCACCAGGTGACTTCAGTCAGCCGGTGGAGTTTTTAAGTCGCGCCGTCGCAGCAGACTCCCATACCCCACCGCTTGTCGCGGCCTTGGCTCCTTCCTTCAAGCGAATCTTACGGCAGACGGGGCCGTCGCGCAAACAGCCGGACCGCATGGGGAACAGGAGGGGGATCACTGGCTTTGCATGGCTCTGCGGCGCAAGGCACTTTCATGAAGAGTCGCAGCAAAAGCACCTTGAGCAGCTTGAGACGCAGGACCTGGAGAAGCTGAAGCAGCAGCAGCAGCAGTACCTGCAGTCGCAGAAGGCGAAGCTCCGGACCCAGCTCGACAATGCAACGTCACCACCGTCAGGGCAGGCCGTCACCGCCGCCGCCGCCGCCGCTGCTGGTGGTGGTGATGCCGCCGTCAAAGGTGGCTGTAGCAGTGCTGCTGCTGGCAGTAGCACTTGTTGCCCTGACGGCGGCCGTGTTAGTGACAGCACGCGGAGCTCTGGCCTCCTGCTCGCGGGAAAGCCCGCCGGCGGCCGCGGCAGTAGCGGAACGCGCAGCTGCAGCGGCGGCGCCAATCCGGTGTCTACCTTCACCACCACCGCGGCGGCGGCGGCGGCGGCGGCGGCCGCAGCCACCACTAATGCCACCAAGGCGAGTGCAAGGCCGATGCTGTCGCAGGCCGATGATTCTGAGAGCCTTTCTTCCGTTCCGGCTTCTGAAGCGGTTTTTGGGCTGGCCAGCCGCGCCTCTGCGCCTGCATTGACCCAAGAGTCGCCGTTTTTGAAGCTTCACGGAGATGCAGTATCGATGGATGGTCGCTCAAGCGGAGGATACATCCTGAGACCTATGGCTGGCGGCGGCGCCGTTCCGCCAGCTGGTCCCGGAGGCCGCTCCTTCAGCAGCAATTCACGTCACAAGTAGGTGTGGGCCGTGCCGTACCAAGTACGGCCGTGATGCCATGGGCAGAGGGCTGGGCTGATCACCTAAGGTTGTTCCAGCTATTCCAGTTGTAGGTAAACATATTATGTACTGGCTTTGGGGCGGTTTTAGTGTAGATAACCCAACTTTAAACCGCTTCTATAGCTTCCGAGCCGCGGGTATACCCTTGCATGGTGTCGTACATGCATGTCGTACATGGGCACATGGAGGGAACGGTTGGGTGCCCGTCTTACTAGGACTTGCAGTTTGAAGATAGGTATTATGTCGCGCGCGCGGTATTATGTTGGATGCAGTCCGAAAGTTTAGATTACACAAGATCTAAACTAAAGTAAACTAAACTATAAAGTAAACTAAAGTTATGCTCAGAAGTAGCTGCCAACGGAGCACCGTGATATGCAATTTGCATGGTGAGGTGACTTATCTCCACTGATCTCCACTTGGGATCCACTTGGGATCCACTTGGGATCCACTTGGGATCCACTTGGGATCCACTTGGGATCCACTTGGGATCCTATACCAGACACCGTAGTGTACAAACTGTCTGGTATCACAAACTACATATCCGCGTCCGCACAGACGATTCAGCTCCAGTAAGAGTGTGCCTGCGAGCTTGTCCAAGGCGACGGCCGTTAGCAGCGGCGGCGGCGGCGGCGGCGGCGGCGGGACTGGGCAGGCGAGCTCAATCGCCGCCTCCGGACCCCAGTCGATTCATGGTTCGTTGGGTCTTTATCGGGAGCCGTCACTGTCGGCTTCGGAGCGGTCGTCGTACGGCAGCAGCCTTCTGATGGCTGCATTCGACCGTCACGGGAC